ATAAAACTAAAACAAACCAATCAAAACAACCCAACCCAACCCTACCCAACCCAGCCCAACACTTTTTAACAAAGGAACAACACATTTATAAAATAAAAAAAGTTCGACAACTTCTAGTAGAATCGAACCCGGTACCTCTCGCATGCTAAGCGACCGCCCTACTATCTGAGCCATCCAGCTTAATATCAATTTTAAACGCTCGGGGAATAAAAACGGATTTACAGTGTGTGACGTCAATCGGGATCGAAGTTAAGTCCCGCCTCGGGACGGGAGACACATCGTTTTTCTAATATGTTTGTTTTGGTCCGTATCTTATAAAAACTTTCGGCTTGTAGGGATTGTATTTGCTTATCCTGTTAGGGTGTTTATTTGTTAATGTGTGTTGTTTTCAAATTAAATTAAAATGGCTTGTAATGTACCCTATGTATTTTCGTAACCCGATTCTTTAAGTATACTGAAATACATATTTTGGCATATTCGTGATCGTCTAGTTAATTTACTTACTTTATAAAAATTAGGACTCTACGTTGTGTATTTAAGTACATTGATAATAACGTTATTTTGAAATTGGTCAGGTTTAATGAAACACAAGTATTTGATTTTTAAACCCCTGATTTAATTTAAGCAAAGACAAAGGGGTGGCCCGTTGAGTCAGAGCACAGGGAAAAGGGACCATAAAAACCCTGGTGACTTACACAGTTTAAATAAAAATAAAATACAAAACAAAACATAGTTATATGGGTCATAATCACTAGAATACAGTATAAATAATAAGTGAATAAAATAACATAAAAGGCAGATAAACATATTTCATTTGATTTGGGTATTTTATCAATATTCTAAACATTTTATACTCAGGTAAAGTCATTCTTAGAGATTGTCATTTTATGACAAAGATTTGTACTATTTGATTACCTTACCACGCATCTTCGAACTATTGTACGATGATACGATTTTATAAAATAATAATAATAATAATAATAAACGAACAGCAACTACAACTTTCATATAGAGAGAATTCGAATGCTAAATAGGATAGGAACGCCGGGAATTATTGATATAATGCAGATATTACCCGTAGCTAATAACCACACTATGGAAAAATGTTAAGCAAACCATCTGTGGAAGAGATATAACGACACTGCTCTCACTTAGTGCCTTTATACCACTTACGCATTTTAAATCCTCCAATGTCCAGCACAAGACAATAGTATTGTAAAAGCATACAAACACGGCCTGCACACAGAAATTAAAGGTAAGTAACATAACGACACCACCTTTCACCTAATGCCTTTATATTACCCATGCTTATATGATTTGAACCTTTTTTAACAAAATTAATCAATCGATGATCTAAATAAAATTAACTTTTAGCATTTAATTCACAAGATGTGTGCCAAGTCAAAATCTAATTATCAATCTGTCCAAAAAGTCACTAGACCACAGCAAAAAACAATTTAAATTTGTCATTTTTCATCTCAGTGCAGTGGCAACACTGTGACATTAATTTAGCAATATTTATTGTTTAAACATTTGTTTAATACCAACTTAGAATTTTTTTATAATTAAACCCCAGAATAAAGTGTCATAAAAGAAATCAACTAAAATTTACTATTAAACTTACAACCTAACTTGGCCCAAGAACATTAAAAATTAAATAGAATACATTAGCAGGTAAGCAATTAATATTTCTTTAATAAAACGCCAAAACTTTTCAAAATCAAAACTAACTAAAATCCTGTTTGTTACAACATATAGAGCCTATATTGTAGAACGGTTGTAATACCTTGTTAATAAGGAAAGTTGTTCAGAACCATTAAAAAAGAAGAAGTCTTTAATAAGTAAATTTGTTTTTATACATGTATGAAAATATTTGACGACGTTGATAATTATAATTACTAGTGTTCGACCGATATGCTTTTTTTTGGCCGATACCGATAATCGGCCGATACCGATATTTTTCTGGGCGATACCGATATATATTGGCCTATTTTTTTTTAAATTGCCAAACCACTTAAATACGCATTTATATTAATAACAAATTACTTTTATAATAATCCCAGCCCTAATAAATGATTTCGCTGTGTTTATTTGGGTTTTTTTCTTATTGGATTTTTATATTATTAGTAATAATATCAAAATCCAATAAGAAAAAACCCAAATAAACGCAGCGAAATCAAGTGAACAACCAAAATACCTCGAGTTCTGAATGCGGCCCTGGTGAGAATCTCGTCAAACAACATTGAGCACGCGTTTTTTCTAACGCTGTGGCTTCTCGCTATGTTACAATAAAACTAAAACAAACCAATCAAAACAACCCAACCCAACCCTACCCAACCCAGCCCAACACTTTTTAACAAAGGAACAACACATTTATAAAATAAAAAAAGTTCGACAACTTCTAGTAGAATCGAACCCGGTACCTCTCGCATGCTAAGCGACCGCCCTACTATCTGAGCCATCCAGCTTAATATCAATTTTAAACGCTCGGGGAATAAAAACGGATTTACAGTGTGTGACGTCAATCGGGATCGAAGTTAAGTCCCGCCTCGGGACGGGAGACACATCGTTTTTCTAATATGTTTGTTTTGGTCCGTATCTTATAAAAACTTTCGGCTTGTAGGGATTGTATTTGCTTATCCTGTTAGGGTGTTTATTTGTTAATGTGTGTTGTTTTCAAATTAAATTAAAATGGCTTGTAATGTACCCTATGTATTTTCGTAACCCGATTCTTTAAGTATACTGAAATACATATTTTGGCATATTCGTGATCGTCTAGTTAATTTACTTACTTTATAAAAATTAGGACTCTACGTTGTGTATTTAAGTACATTGATAATAACGTTATTTTGAAATTGGTCAGGTTTAATGAAACACAAGTATTTGATTTTTAAACCCCTGATTTAATTTAAGCAAAGACAAAGGGGTGGCCCGTTGAGTCAGAGCACAGGGAAAAGGGACCATAAAAACCCTGGTGACTTACACAGTTTAAATAAAAATAAAATACAAAACAAAACATAGTTATATGGGTCATAATCACTAGAATACAGTATAAATAATAAGTGAATAAAATAACATAAAAGGCAGATAAACATATTTCATTTGATTTGGGTATTTTATCAATATTCTAAACATTTTATACTCAGGTAAAGTCATTCTTAGAGATTGTCATTTTATGACAAAGATTTGTACTATTTGATTACCTTACCACGCATCTTCGAACTATTGTACGATGATACGATTTTATAAAATAATAATAATAATAATAATAAACGAACAGCAACTACAACTTTCATATAGAGAGAATTCGAATGCTAAATAGGATAGGAACGCCGGGAATTATTGATATAATGCAGATATTACCCGTAGCTAATAACCACACTATGGAAAAATGTTAAGCAAACCATCTGTGGAAGAGATATAACGACACTGCTCTCACTTAGTGCCTTTATACCACTTACGCATTTTAAATCCTCCAATGTCCAGCACAAGACAATAGTATTGTAAAAGCATACAAACACGGCCTGCACACAGAAATTAAAGGTAAGTAACATAACGACACCACCTTTCACCTAATGCCTTTATATTACCCATGCTTATATGTTCAAGTAAAAACGCTTTTCCAACAAAACACAAATACAAATACAGACACAAATAAAATCAACAATTAGCAATAAAATAAAAGGGGGAAAAATGTAAATAAATACAATAAATGATAACTAGGAGAGCGTCATTACAAAAACACATAAACATAGCCTAAAACTCAAACCACATGAAAGTGTCGCGCTGTATAAAATAAATATTATAAGAACATAATATAGTACCCAAAAGTCATTATCAAGTATTCAAATTAAAGCGCTTAGGTAAGCAGGTTTAACCCTAAGTCTCCAATCCGAATCTATCAAAATGCTAATCGGTACTATTACCTTACCATGATATTACCTAATGGTAATATCAAATTATGTGATAATAATAAATAATAATAATAATAATAATAACAATAAACCTTACCCAAGTAATACCAATATGATAATAATAATATAATTGTTAAAAGTTTTAGCCTGAGTACAAATGCAAAGATTTAAAATAAATAAATACCTTAACACCGAGATGATACACTGAGTTTCATAAACAATAAAGTACATTTCAGTTAAATAAAGTCATACAAAGTTATACAAAAGGAAACAGCAAAATCAAGGCCAGTGTAACTCAAAATAAAGAAAATACAAAATAGTAATATTTAAGGTAAATGTAATTCAGTGAATATGATAAACGCGACAACATAAAGATTTAAACTCAGTGTATGCGCGATACCAAGATATTAAACCAAAATAATGAAATTTGATACAATAAAAAAATTATTACCAAAAATCATTCGCTATTTACACATATTAAAATGATTAGGACCCAATAAACTAGCAATGATAAACGTCATAGACCAAAATGCGAATTAAATAATATTGTTCAAAATTTTAAGCACAAATGTATTAAGAAAACAAAAACCGAGGAGTTGTTTATCATTACTAGCAAATATTACAATTTAAAAAAGTGTACATACCTAATAATTATAGCAGAAAATCGGTAACAATCACAAAAACTATAACTATATTATAATATATTTCACAAACGGTTTAACAGGAGTATCTCGAAGGGCGAGCAAAAACTTTCTGTGTATTCTATTTCCTAAACTAGCTTTTAAACATCTCGGCCACTTAAGCAAGAATGTGTAATATAAACATATCACCCCAATATTTCTACGTTCAAATACAAAGAAGTGAAATATTAAAACTCAATATGATTTTAAAACATAAAATAACTTAAACTATAATATTATTTTTAGTGGATTATTTAAATTTTCCTTGGTTAAAATAGCGCCAAATTTGAATTTAAAAGTTTACATACTACAGGACCCTTACAGACCCTTACAGGCTTTAAAGAAAAACCTTTATTGGAAATAAATTAACTGTGAAAGCTAAGACTTCGACGGTTAAACGTAAATTATGTTAAGCAAATATATCTTTGGTAGGTGTCGGCAAATCTGCAAATACGTCAAACATGCAATACCATATGCAGAAAAATCATCCGCAAGAACTTAACAAAATAAAAGAAGTGTAACGTGTCAAAAAGACTCTTAGTTTATTTTATAAATTTGTTATTGTTTCGCTAATGAAACTAAAACTTACTTATCGGCACTTTATTATTTGGTTTAATTTCCATACTTTACTTGCTGTACTACTTTTATGTTCTCTATTTTGGTTTATTTTCATAACTTATAATATATTTTGGGTGGTGTCGTGCAGTGTGGTTTTTCTGTCCTATTTTTGGTTTTTCCGGTAATGCCTGGTTAGTTTTATGACTTTTTCTGTCCTTACTAAAATTTTTATTACATTTATTATAATATATTTTGGGTGGTGTCGTGCAGTGTGGTTTTTCTGTCCTATTTTTGGTTTTTCCGGTAATGCCTGGTTAGTTTTATGACTTTTTCTGTCCTTACTAAAATTTTTATTACATTTATTATTATTGTCTAGTTCTACTACTTAATTTACCTTGTTTGTCTTATGTTTTCTGCCGTTGTTTTGGGTTACGTTTTGCGGGGACCTTGGTTTTAACAGGACTCTTTTCGTTTCCTAAGAGATTGAGTTTGGTTTTAGGAATACCTTCGTTGAGTTATTATTTGTATTTGCCTTGGTTGTCTATATTTTATAATAGTATATTGATGTAGCCATTTTCTGTTTACATCTTAGCTGTCAGATAACAGTGTTGCCAACGTTATTTTAATCGCACACCTAGCTTTTATCTGTGGGTTGCATACTGTAAATTCGGTGTTGCCAACGTTAAAGTTATGTAACGTTCCTGCTGAGGTGACGCTTGGTTTAATTGACAATTGACAGTTGGCGTTAGGCTTGTGAGCGTGTGCAACAGGTGCTTTGAAGATTTGGTTTTATTTCCACCATCCGTTCTTAATTGCGGGATTTGTCTTCAGAGAAACCTATATTGGATCCATTTAGACCGTTATCGTTTTGGATTTTGTATCTTTGGTCTATGGATTTAGCGGATTCGTCCGGATTTAAAATGCACATGCTCTAGGTAAGCGTCTTTTGTCTATTTCATGGTTTTTCTTTATCTAAGCCTATTTTAGTGATCAAGCCAGCGTCATTTCACACTACACCGCACATAACATCGTTGAATAAAATCCCACGGTTATAACTTGACATCGTTGTACAATAATTTATTCAACCAGGCGTAAGTACAAATAATTTCTTTGGTAGACCTATTCCATACCTTTACTTTTCTCTTTTAAGGTTTTTTTGTTTTGGTTTTGTTTTGTTTTTATGTTTTCATAACCCTATTAGTGTAACTTTTACACAACTTGGACACGACGGATTATCTCCCAGATATCCACCCTTATTGTGACCCTTGTTCCGGGGCATACACTACCGCGAAGGTACCCGGACAAGCCTAGTTTTCTCCTGGATTTGACTACTGTGAGTTGGCCGAGGTAGGACTGAGATCGACGTCTGCCATCTCACCCATCACCCGATTAAGACACTTTCCCCGGATTTGACGACTACCCGATTGTGACAACGCCTGGCAGCAGGATAAATTTACCTCTATTTTATTCTTTACTTTATTGTGTGGTATTTATACTGGAGTATATGTTATTTCGTTATATGAATATTTTTGTAAGGTTTGTTGTTCTGTGCCAAGGCTGACCAGCTTTTGCCCGTATAACCAGCTGCTGGTTGGTTTTGATCCAGACCAACGGCCAATTTATTGTTGATTTTCTTTATTTTTATTGGTCAGTATTGTTCGTTGTGTTGCGAACTGATTTGGTTAAGCTTGACCGTATAACCAGGTTTACCCAGATCAGGTTGCAACCCTCGGGTTGCTAACCTTGTTACACCTACAAGCTTAACTTGTAGTGTCACCTCATTTTTGTTTTGCCCTGGTTGCCTTAAGCACCAGCTTTACTTAATTTTTGTTTTGCCCTGGTAGCCTTCAGCTACAGAGTGGTATTTTACTCGCAGAATATATAGATTGTTTTTGTAGTTCGTAACTACCAAAAGGGTTGTAAACCCAAGTGATCACTTCGGTATTATTTCTGGTATTTATCCTAAACACAAGTATAATCACTTATTGCGTTATTTTAAATTATATATCAGTAATAAACCTTTAGTTATATCTATTTCGTGATTTTCTCTTTCTACGTTTTAAGGGCCACTTAAATCACGTGGCGCCTATGAACATCCCTTTATAACTCACACCCCTGAGCAACTATAGAGTCGGGCAGAGCCCTTAAAACTAGATATTACTTTAGATAGCGCCCACTGAAAAGTGAACCGTGACAGAAGATGATCGAGTTCCAGGTAAGTAATTATATTTTATTAAATATTAGGTACTGAAATTACGTAAAAAACTATAATGTTAAACTTACTTTAGATAGCGCCCACTGAAAAGTGAACCGTGACAGAAGATGATCGAGTTCCAGGTAAGTAATTATATTTTATTAAATATTAGGTACTGAAATTACGTAAAAAACTATAATGTTAAACTTAATAGCATATACTGTCTATTTGAAAACAAGATAGGTAAAGATCAGGTTTGCATATTTTTGTGACGTTACGGGTTTACCATTAAAAAATCATTTAATTAAAAAACAGTGAGGGTAATAGTTTTGCAATTTTATATTGCTTTTTTAATTAGTATTAGTATTGAAGTATTGAGTATTTGTCTTATAAAAATAGTATATTGTGCAACAAGTAGAGAAAATAGTCGATTATAAACAAGCATTCGTTTGACACGCGAGCGAGGCAAGAATGCGAGTTTATAATCGACTATTCTTCACGAGTTGCATATATTACTATGATTTTGTCCCACAATCAAATAAAAAATTAAATAGAATATATTACTTTCGTAAAAAATGATTAGCTGTCAAAAGTGTTTTGGTTTTTAGGGATATGTTTTTTTAACATTGTTTTTTGGGATTATTTTCTTTTAAAATTTAATTCTAAAGAGACCTTATTTGTACACCTGATTCACTAAAATTATGAATCATGATTAAATACTGTTTAATAAATAGTGAAAAAAATGCAATTAGGTATCTATTTATTAAAGTTTAAGTTTTTTAACATTGTTTTATATGTTTTTTGGGTCAATAGTATTAAAAATTATTGTCTTCTTCTTTTTCATTGTTCCACTAGTTCCACATTGTTTTTTGAATAACATTTAAAAAAAAAACGCGACGTCAAAAATTAAGAAAAAAATGCAAAGGTTTGCATGTTGAATTTTATATAGACCCAATTTTAAATTTGTTTCTTTTTTGCAGAACAAGAAGGGCCATCTACATCGCAGCCTAATCAGTCCATATCTATTCCGTTAAAGCAATCATCAATTGGGGATTCTTTTAAAATGTTGAAATCCTGGGACATTAATGAAAATAAGGCCAAGGATTTTCACTATTTGATTGGCGAAATAATTTGTATAGATAACCAACCGTACAGCATTGTGTTGAATATTGGCTTCTCTCGTTTAATGAATAAAGCTCTCCCAAATTATCAGTTACCTTCTGAATATTTTAGAGAGAAAATTGTGCCCGATATATTTGCAAAATGCAAGGCAAAAATTAAACAAAGAATTCACGAAATGGTGGGAAAAGCGTCTTTTACATCAGATATTTGGAATTTAAATTTTAAAGGCCGCTTTATTCACACCTTGCAGTTAGTAATAAATGATGCAATTCGAAGTCAACATTTCGTCAATGAAGTTTTGGCAAAATCAAGGAGAATCGTTGGTCATTTTAACCATTCACAAACGGCTTGTGATAAATTAATTAAACTACAAGATCAGTTAAATCTTCCAAAACATAAATTAATTCAAGACGTCCAAACAAGATGGAATTCAACATTTTATATGATTTCCCGTCCATTAGAGCAAAAAAAAGCTATAAACTTATACATCGTAGATCATCCAATACTCGTCGATTTAAATTATACAGAATGGGAATTGTTGACTGGTATTTTAAACCTACTTAATCCATTTGAAGAAATGACTAAAATGACAAGTTCTTTAGAATGTTGTATATCCGAGGTAATACCATTTGTTTCAACATTTAATGCATATTTAACAAAAGAAAGTAACAATTTTATCGAAGTGGGAACTATAAAAGAGGAAATTAAATCCAGTTTGACGTTGTTTTAAACACGTGTTCTCAAATGAAAATTAAACAATATCAACTTTTTTGTATCCTCGGTTTAAAGGCAATTTCTTTAAAGTCAATCGTAGGTCTCAACTTAGACACATAATTAGAACCTTGGAAAATCGCGTTAAACATCCTGATGAGGTGTCTGAAGTATTTAGTAATCCAACTGAAGAAAATAACGACACTGATAGCGATAATGAACCCCCCACAAAATATATTCGTCACGATTTGGAAAATGAAATAAGTCAACAGTCTTCAGCTTACGATTTGTTTTGGAAAGCATATGAAGAGTTTTTTGGGGAAGCACCATCTAGAAGGGATGCAAATTTGAAATCAGTATATGAAAGGTTTAAAATGGAAATAGCTGAATACAACAAGTTACCTGTACTTTCAGAAAATATGAATCCACTCTTATGGTGGAAAGAAAAACATGATGTTCTGTATTTTCTGTATTTTCTCAAGCACTTATTAATTTAAGCCCCCAGGAAGCAGTGTTTTTAGTGAACAAATGTTTTCAGAAGCAGGGACTGTAAACTCAGCAAAAATGGACTAAACCCAGATACATCCGGGGCTTTAATTTTTCTTTATAGCAATTTAAAAAAATTGGATTATTCTTATTAGTTAATATTATTAATTAATTTTTATAGAGTCTTATTTTGTTTTTATTTAGTATTTTATTTATCTGTTATTATTAAACTTTTTTTTAATTTTAAGGAAATCGTCCAGTTTGTTTTCTGTAACGTGCAAATTTCGCCTACCTTAAATATTTAGGATTTTTGATATTAAATTGTTATCAGTGGCATTGTATTCTTTGTTACAAGTCTTTATTTTGTATACGTTTTTTTAATGGGTCTGTGTTTCAAAAAAGCTTGCATAATTTGTACATCTACATAACATATTTTCAGTAAAACTTAGATATTTTTGCATATTTAATGGAAGTTACGTCTGATGAAGGCAACCAAGTTTACCTCGGACAGAACTACACATTATACCGGCACTTCTCTTCCAATTGTTGTTGTGAATACATTGTTAAAAATAAATTAAATAAAAAGTTCAACTGTTTTAATTTAACAAATTAAGAACTCAAAACTGGCGCTGTGAAACAGGATTCTCATCAACAAAAATCATTAGAATTTTTGGTTTGTTTCTACAATTTATGGTGAAACCGGACTCATCAACAACAAAGAAGAAAGTCACCCGTCTTCAACCTGCCAAAGGACCCATTAAAGATTCATTGGACAACTTCAAAATCTCCTGAATTTCGTCCTTTCGTCCCCCCGAGCCAATTGAAGATGAACAACGCATTAAATTTAATTAAGTAAGTCGTTCAGTAGTTCCCCTTGCATCCCTTTTATTAATTCCTAATTTATTTTCATTTATTTTAAGTATTATTTTTTGCCTTTATTAATTTTTATGCCAACAAATCTAAACAAAATTTCGGTTTCGGAAGTGATCCAGAAATAGAACAACTTGTTATATTATTAGAAAATACTACTATAACTAATCCCCAAATTAAAATCAACAAAGTAAATATGACAGATCCAGAAATTCCTAAAATAACTGATAAGCAACTTGAACAATTTCTTGTCTCCATTCAAAACAGAGATGCAAATATCGTTAAAATAAAAACAGAACTTTTTCAGCAAAAAGCACTGTTGACATATAAAGTTGGTATTTCACAACCCTACGGCGATTTGTTAAAATACAGCAATTGTAAATCACTAGAAGAATGTTTTTCGCGATGTTCTGAGCTCGAAAACGAAGAATCTTTTGGTAGAGCTATACGCACCAAATGTGATAAAATCAAAACACCCCAATTAGTTTTAAATTCTCCGTCACCAAGATTGTTCAACTATCCCCCACAACAAGTCAGTCACCCCGAACCACAACGATCAAATTTTAATAACGCAAAACTCTTTGACTGTTGACTTAATAACCGAGCATATAAGCTGAGGGAGTAATTTGTTTTGATTGTGTTCCACTACACCAAGTTGCCCGACACTGATGAGACCCAATAAAGGTCGAAACAGCTGTCTGTCGGTATTTGAAGTTGGTGGAACGCATTCAAAACAAAAATCTTTGGCGAGGTGTAGGTTCAATTTTTTTTTTTTTTTTTTCTTATGAATATTACCAGTGATGGGTCAAGAAAGTTTCTTAAAGAAACTAAGAAAATTGAATGATTCTTTGACTCTTATGTCTACTTTTGGGAATATGATATTTTGCACATAGCATTATACTACAGAGTGTTAAACTAAAATTTCAAATCCCCATTCACAGGGCAGTTGAGCTTGATAGTTGTAATACCCCTAATAACAGTTAGGTTATCCCTCGGGACGTTTTTAGAGATTTTGTGGATATCTGGGCTAACCACGATTATATGGCAATTTTTCGAAAATTCACGTCATTCTTCATTTTAGTCCAAAAAATTAGATTTTTTGACTCTTGCCATCAATTTTGGGAATAAGATATTGTGCACATAGCATGATACTACAGGGTATTCAAAATGAGATGGTTTTTCCCAAAATTCCAAATTGCCATTCACAGGGCAGTTGAGCTTGATAGTCCTTATACCACTTCCTAATAACAGTTAGGTGATCCCTCGGGATGTCTTCGAGATTTTGTGGATATCTCGGCTTACTACGATTATATGCCAATTTTTCGAAAATTGTCGTTATTATCCAGTTGTCCAAAAAATGAGCAATAGTGGATTCTTTGACTTACGTCTAATTTTGGGAATACGATATTGTGCACATAGCATTATACTACAGGGTGTTAAAAAAAGAGATGTTTTTTCCAAAATTCCAAATCACCATTTCCTAATAATAGGAATTCCTTTGGGACTGTTTAATTTATAAATTTTATTATTTTGGTGACGCCCTGTGTGTACCTGCGCTGTATCCGCACGGTATCACACAATCGGTCCCCACCTACATTATATAAGTCAGTGTAAGTTAGATTTAAGAAATAATTTATATAAATATACGATTATAACTATCACGCAATATATAAGTTATAAAATCATAAATACATATATTCTTCTTCTTCTTTGTTTGGTTTGGCCTTTCCCATCCAGGATTTAGCCAGCTTAAATGTGTATACTGTTGATTGGTGAGAGGTGTGTCTAGGCTGTCCTATATCCTCCCTCCTTCATTGTCGAATCTGAATTCTTGAATTAAGGCTCTTCAATTAATATTTCCATCTTTGTCCCATGTGGTTGTGTTATATATATTTACATATATATATTTTTTATTTTTTAATTTTGCTTTTTTTTTAAATTTTTAAATTTTGACTTCCGCTGATTTTGTATGTGTTTGGTTAGTGTGTTGTTGTGTCATATCTGTATTTTATTAAAGTTTATAAATCTCCGGATTAAGTCCATTAGATTATTGTCCGTCTTTTGTAAGACTATGGCCATGTTAAATGGTTTTTGCACCCCCTGCTGTGTATTTCGTCATAAAGGTCGGTATTCCCCGTCTGGTTAATCGGACATTCAAGAAATATATGATCAATGTCTCCAAACCTCCCACATTCACAGAAGGGATCGTCCCTCAACCCCATTCTGTAAAGGTGCGAGTACGATTGGAAATGTCCAGTTCTTAGTCTTATTATTGTGCACGGTGGGCTTGAACATGACTTAAATGCGAGATTTTAGCACTCCCGATTTTCTTTCGGCATTCGATTTCTGGACTCATAAGAAGGTCAGAAAAAAAAATCCACCGTAATCCTTAGAGCCGATTTTGAAAAAACGACTTTTCTTAAAGTTCAAGAAATATGCATTTTTAACGCGTCTCCTCTTGGACTTGGAACACGCTCAATTTGGTAGAAATGTGATATCCGGACATTTCAGAATAGAAGACTAAAGACAGACAAACCTTTTCCTGGATACAGACCAAAAAAAAATTCTTCGTGCGAGTTTCTGACGGAAAAAGGATTGAAAAAAAAATTAAAATCTCGATTCTTGAACTGATAATTTTATTAAAAAATAATGTTCAAATAATAATTATTATTGTACAAGAATAAATAGTTTGATAATTTTGAATCAATGTCTGAGGTAAAGAACATGTTAACAGTTATACAAAAAAAACAAAATTCTTGGCATTTTTAACCAAATTTGCAAATCTACTATTGAGCGACAAGTTATAACGTTAACGCTTTAACTAGCTAGTTATAAATGAACACTATTGTATTCTCGGAGTGCGGTCAGTAATTTACTTCCACAATCTGGATGACATTTTTTTACTTTATATTTGTCCCAGGTAATCCCAAAGTCATGGTGGACAGATTCCATGGCCTGCTCGCTAAAAAAACCCAACCCTTGTTTGGTTTTAGCGACAAACTCGGGTACATGAAAAAACACAGCATGGACCTTTGGAGTAACACTGATCTGTAAATCTAAATAACTTCTTTTAAATCTGTTTATTGCTTCTGTGTAGTTTGGTTCCAGAGTGATTGAAAAACAAGATTCTACCACTGCTCGAAATTCTCGGAAACATTTAACATAATTTAGGCAACCCGGCCTGCATAAATTTTGCAAAACATCAGTTTTATCCAAAAGCAGTTTGCATGAGTTATCCGCAAATGCAGGGGCCCCATGCACAAATTCCTGGCTGAGATTGCATTTTTGGCCCACTCTAAAGCTTCAAACTCGAACTCCATTTTCATCCGATTATAAAGAGTGTTTACTACTCCGAGAATCAAATGCAATTCAGGGGGTGCAATGATATCAAGAATCTGTCTGGAGTCATCTGTGCGTCTTGAAAGAACAGGCAAATTTGAGCAATTTTTGTAATTTTTTGCAAAGGACTTTTTGAAGTTGATCTTTTCCCATTCTAAATAATTTTCTTGGCAGTTTTCTATAGTTCTCTTCTCGCCACAAGTGTCCAAACTTTCTTTCGAGGCCAAACACCAGGTACATGGAAAGCTACTGGCATGAGACATGATTCCCACCAATATATTAGCGAGTTTCAAATCGGTTGCAATTGTGCCCGCAAAATCATTGATTTGTAAGAGAGACCATAACATTCTGACATTTTCGTGGTTTTCTTGTGTGGCTGCAATTATTGCGAGAATAAATAATTTTTTCACTCCGGAATCCTTGAATCTATTTGCCGCTACGCCCGCTATATTTTTGTCGATTATCTATTACAGCAGAATCAGGTTCTTGCACTGAAAGGCAATTCTTGAGAAACCCTCCTCCACCATCAATTCCAAACTTCAAATGAGGATTATCATTGTTTCGAGTTCCTTTTATATAAGCGATTAAGGCCGCAACATCTGTACAATATGCCAATATTTCTGTAGAGGTCGTTTTCTCGCCAGCTTTGGACGTCATTATGGGGCAACTTTTGAAATAAAAAAATGCCTATGGCGGTATGTAGATAGTTTCGTCTTCAGATGGGGTTCAAACAGGTTTCTTTTTTGGGAGCCAACCCGTAAATCCCTCGCTATTCCCTGAACTACGTTGCTGGAGAGACCGT